TAAGGAGGGGCTGTGCCACGCCTGGTCCATCACATATATTTACATCCTCTTCTTTCCCACTTCTGAGGCTTTCTAGGGGGGCGGTTCCCACTCAGCCCTGCAATGTGGCTCCACTGTTCTCTGCCTGTTTCCTTTTCTCTGTTGATTTCTGTCTTGGGCATGGGGCCTTCACTGGTGCCCCTGGCCATCAGCGTTCTGTGCCTTGAGGGGCACATAGCAGAGTGTCTCAGAGGCACTGTGCAGACTGCTCCCACCTCCGTGGATGCCAGACCCCTGATCTTGCAAGTTTCCTAACCTCTTCTGACCTGAGTTTCCTCATCCAGAATAAAAAAGAATAATTGGTTCTACCTGAGTTTTGTACAGGAAATAAAAACCACTCTGAGAATTTAAAGCACAAGCAAAATTGGATGCAGGGAATTCCACGTCTTCAGAAGCACTGGAAAATTAGAATCTGGGTCTTTGGGAGCAGACCTGTCCCAGCAGCTGACTCCTCATCCACAGTCAGGAGGCCGTCCTGGAGCCACTGAGTTCACATGTGCTCCCCTGCAATTCAGGGATCAGGAAACTGCTGCAGCTTTTGGGACAGCTGCCTCTCATGCCCCCTGCCTGAGAGCCAGAGCCTGAGTTCAGAGAACCCCTTCCTCCTCACTGTGTGGAGCACAGCCTGAGAGCCAGGAAGATGCCTCCTCCTCCCTCCTACCGTATCGGTCTATCACCAGCGCATCTCACCGATGGAGCCTAATCCATATCCAGGCTCACAGCCACAAGGAGGGTTGGAAATGTTTTTCAGCTTTCCAGCTTCTGCAGCATAGGAAGACAAAGTACTGATGAGTACTGAGGGCAAACTGATAAGGCTATTAACCCAAACGAGGCACTAACAGACTTGGCACAGTGCTTGTCAGTGAATGTCAGCTGCCATCCTCATTCTTTCTATCGGGCCAGGGACCCGGTGAGCCAGGCCTGGTCCTGCCCATAAGCTCTGGCACAGAGAGGGCTCCGCGTAGTGCGTCGGTCTGCACGGAGCTGTCCGTGGTGCTGAGCACTCCACCGCCGGACCCGGCTCTGGCTGCTTATTGCTGCCCAGCTCACACAGTGGGCTCCCCGACAAGGTAGATTTGAGTCCACTCACCCCATGCCTAGGCTTGGGAGGCCCTCTGGGGACTGTGGAGAGAAGGCCAGCCTCTGTCCCAGGAAAAGGATAGCAAAGGCACTCACAGTTTACAAAAACAGGACTCTGAGCACCATCTCCTTTAGTGAACCCTCATAATCACCCTGGAGGAGGCAGGCCAGACACATTGGTGTCCATTATGTAGAAGAGAAAACTGAGCTACATGATGTTAAGTAGCAGCTAACAAATAACAGAACCAGGGTCATATCCAGTCTCCTGACCCCTCCACTCTATGCTGTAACTTTGGAGGGAGACTTGGAAACCAATAATGTGCAAAACTCAGGACTCAGGTACTCTGTGTGTTCTCTGCAAATGTGTGCAAATCACCTTTCTCCTTCCCTGTCCCTGAGTGTGGCTCTGGATAAAGAACTGTCTATCTTTCACTAAGACCAACTGGAAGACATAAGGAAAAAACCATGGCCCTGCTACTAAAGATCCCATAGATTTGTTGGGAAACTGCCCATCTGTGTGGGAAGATGAGAGGATAGTGCCAGGCCTTGGTCACAAAGACCAACTGTGTAAAGAGGGTGGGAACCAGGTGCAGACCAGGGCCATCCCTTGAGGGCCCCAGGGAGTAAGATTTGGTAAGCTGGACCATAAATATTAATGAGACCAAGGCTCTAGCTGAGCTCAGAGGAAGTAGCTTGAGCTGTGTACAGGGAACAAACCAACTCTGGGGCACGTGGCAGGCAGCAGAACTGCGGGAAGGCTTGGTATCCCACCCAGAAGTGACTGCGTCAGGTCTCTGAGGTAATGGGAGAAGTGCCATAGCATGGAGATCCTAGTGAAGAGATGGTGTGAGCCTGTAATTCACCTCTCCAAGACCCAGGACCAGCAGGAATGGGAGGGGAGAATAGTTCTCATGAGTTGGGCCACTGCAAGACCATTTATGAGACGCCCAGCTATCTTTGTTTATCCCTGAATCTCCCCACTCTCTCTCCTTGTTTAGGGAGAGGCAGCAAACTTTTGGGGTCTTCAGGAATGCCTTATCTAGATACAGATAAGGAATCTTAGCCTGGTAGTCCTCTATCTCAGCTGAACATAAGAATTGACTACAAATTCTCATTCTTAACCTGGGGAAGTGGGATGTGAGCCTCTGGATCTATTAAATGCCTTCCAGCTGATTCAGTGCCACTCCCAGCCTGAGACTCACTGAGAACTCTGGATGGGGAGTCAGAAAACCCAAATTCTCACCCCAGAGCCACCCTTCCCCCGGCCCTAGGCATTTCTCAGCTTGCTGTAGACTCAGTGTCTCCACGTGTAAAGTTGAGAAGCCATCCTTGGTTGTGAAGGTCTGAGGCAATTGAGGAAGGTTGGCGCAAGGAAGGGCTTGCTGATCCTTAGGGGAAGATTCCAGGGCAGCTGGCAAGGAAGGTGTGGAAGCCCATGAGCAGAACCCCTCATTCTACAACCCCCCACTTCTCTTCCCCAAGTACCCTTAGCAGTGAGTGAACCAAAGCCACTGAGCTGACTTCCTGGAAAGGGAGGAAGTGGAGACCAAGAGGACAGGTTAGGAGGGACGCCTGTGGCCAGCAACTCCAGTGTAAGTCTAGAACCAAGGGAGATAATCTTTCCTGTTGTTAACAAAAAGGGTGACAATGCATTATTGAAGAGACTAAGAAGGCCAGATGGTGGGGTGGAGGGAGGCAGGAGCTGAGGCTTTGTGTGTTACTGGGGAGTGAGGTCGGGAGGAGAGGAGGGTGGCTCCAACCTGCAGCGTTTTCTCCTAGGGCGGTGCCTGTGATTGTAATAATCCTCCCATCTGAACAAAATGCTGTCCTTATGGTCCAGTCCCCATGAACTCCTGAGGGCAGTGGAGCTGACTGGGCCCTGGGCGGTTCTAGGAGGTGCAGCCCGTGCCCTGGCCTGGTCACAGATGCTTCCACACGTTACTCTGAAAGCCAGCAAGGCTTTGTCCCTGGACTAGGGCAGGCACAGATCACCCTCTTCCTCTGCCCTTTTCCAGCACTGCCCGCCTGGCAGAGGCTCAGAAGGCCCAGGAGGCAGGAGGCTAAGACTTTTGAAAGGCCAAGGTTTGAGGGCCAGCTCTGCCACTTATAAGCCATGTCCTCAGCCATGGTTTAACCTCCCTAAGGGCCTTAATTTTGCTCCTTCATCAGGGATGATTCTGGTGCCCTGTGGCACTTGTGAGGATGAAATGAACAAGTGTGCAAATGGAAACTCTTTATTCCATAGTAGGTGCTCAGCAAACCTTAACTATTTATTTATTCATTTATATTTTGAGACAGCGTCTTGCTGAGTCACTAAGTTGCCCTGGTTGGGCTCAAACTTTTGGTTCTTCTGCCTCAGCCTCAAAAGGTGTTGGGATTATGGGATGTGCCACAATGCCTGGCTCACCAACTGGCATTCACACCATCTCTCCTGGTCCTCCTTGGCCCCAAAGCAAGACTGACATTTGCTTCTCATGCACAGAAAGAGCAGAGGCCTTGACTGCTCAGTAGCTGCAGTTTGAGGGACATGGGACAGTCCCCCCATCCCCACCTTTCTCCTCCTACCTGCCCCGGAATAACAAAGGAGGGGGCCTGGGGCGGTCCACTGGCTAATGCTGGGCACTCAGGTGTTTCCCCAGCATGGTGCAGAAGGTTTCATTTGCACAGTAACCATAGTTACTGTCCTCCACTTTCCAGATATGGGATGTAAGGCCCAGAGAGTGAAGTCACTGCCCATGGTCACATAGCTAGCCACAATGGGTCTGACTTGAGACAGCTCAGCTCTCCACACTACCCCACCAGCCTCCTTGTCCTCTGCTGTGGAATGGATTCCCACAGAGTCATATTTCCTGCTGCCCACTGCTCCAGGCCAGGGTTGTGCCCCTGCCATATGCTTCTGTAGCTCTCAAGATTCAGACTTCATCATTTCTAGTGCTCATGCTTATGTCTCCAGAGAGCCAGCATCTGGGCTTCCTGACTGCCCCTTCACACGAAGAGTGAGGTACCGGTACACACCTGTAATCTAGCTACTTGGGAGGCTGAGCCTGGAGGTTTGCAAGTTCTAGGCCAGCCTGCTCAGCTTAGCAAGACCCTGCTCAAAGTAAAAAGGGCTGGGGATATAACTCATTGGTAGAGCCCTTGCCTAGCATGTGTGAGGCCCTGGGTTCCATCCTCAGCACCCTCCCCACCGGAAGAAGAGCTGGCTCTGCATCCAGGAGGAAAGCAGGTCTCAAGGTGCAGAGAAGGAGCTGGGTGCTGCTCTGAGTTTCCATGGCAACACCTTCCCTCATTACTATCTTCGCCTGCTGCCTCAGACTGCTGAGGAGGGTGGCAAGGTAGGAGAGGAAGAGGTTCTCTCCTCTCCTTCCCAGCTCTGTCCTTCTGGCCAGCAGTCAGGTGGAGCAGAAACCCTGCACCCAGCCAACCTGATGGACAGAATCCCCCTCTGCTTGGAGGCTGGGCCCTCCCAGGCAGCATGGTAGCCTGGGCCAACAGCAGCCCTCTCAGCAAATCCCAAAGCTGTGAGCTCCCTGCGGGGTTCTTGTGTGGGTGGACGGATGGACCTGTGACCCACCGTTCTTTCCAGTCAGGACTGTTCATTGTGTGTTTCCCAAATGCTGTGGCCAGTTTGGGTCACTGTCAGTATGGTTCCCTCTCCCCCTTCCCATCACGTGGTGCTCACCCCTGCACCTTCACATCTCAGATGTCACATCTTGGAAGTCATGCCATCAAATCCGAAACGAACTGCAGCACACACACACACACACACACACACACACTAAAGGATGTGCACCTCAGTCTACACTAGGGAAAGGGGCTAGATGAAGCTGGTCCTGGGCCTCTAAGTCTGTGATCTCTCCCCTGCCTTTGTTCTTTCACAGCAGTCCTGTAGCTGAGTGGAGCCTCCAATCCTGACTTGGCCTTCCCTGGAAATCTGATTCAGGTAGGATAAGTCTCCTTGGCCCTTTAGACCTGGGGCTTCCCGTTGGCACGCCTTCTATCACTATCTGTGTGGTGCGGGCTCCCCCTAGTGGGCACCAGCAGACTGTAGCTGCCAGGCGTAGCTGACCTCAGACGCCTGCTCCGCCCAACCTAGAACAACCACCACCGTCGCCATTACTAGTACAGCACTGTGATGCTCTCTCTGGCAGCCTTCCTGGTTAGAGGCTCTGTGTTCAGTCAAACACATCAGTGAGTTAGCTGATCCGCTGCTTGGGGTAGAGATAGTGAAACACTGGGCAGACTCGGCGGAACAATAGGGAAGAGAAAACAAAACAAAACGGGTGAGTTCAAAAGGTAGGCATGAGACTTCCCTGCTCCTGTTGGACACTAATCCCACGATAGGGATGTTAGAAGTTCTTATGTTCTTCCTTTTCCAGCACCAATCTCTTTATGACCTCTTCCCCTATTTTTGTGAGCAGTCCTAGGGCCCAGGCTCACAGGCCACCTCTTATCATCCATTCTCTAATCCTTTTGTCCTCATTCTCTTTTCCATCCCCACTGCCCAGCCCGCCCCAACTCCAGAGCGCAATGTGCCGCACCCCCGGGACTTCACATGCCTTTCTCTGTGTACCAGTGTTCCAGTGCACCAGGCATTGTTTGTGTGCTTGACTAGTCTTAGCTCTGTCACTCGGCCCTGGGAAGTGGGCATCGGTGGCTGTGAGCACCCCCATTTGATAGAGGAGTAGAGTGAGTCATGGAGATAAAGTTCTTATTCAAGGTCAGCTGGCCAGTGAGTTAGAGCTGGCATCCGAGGGCTCGAAGCCCATAATGCACAGAAATGCCAGCTCTCCAGCCTGCACCTTCTCGCTGGGAGCTGGAATGGGGGACTCCCCTGGACCTGCCCTGGAGATTTGTCCTGTGTCTCCCCCAACACCCCTGCCCTCGGGCAGCAGAGACGTCTTTCTTGCCCCTCTGTGCAACTTCCAGGCTCTCCTCCTCCCACCTGACCCCTGGCTTGGGCCACTGGGTGCCACCCTAGGCATCCCACTGCCCTTCTTTGCTGCTGTCTTCTCCTGCTTGCTGGCCACTGGCTCCCACCCTGAGCCTCTCTTTCTCCCCCAGAGTGTCCTTTTCTATACTCTGTCCTTTGCCTCACAGAAACCTTGATGCTGCTGATTTGTCTCCCACTTGTCCTGGTCTCCCTCCTGAGCTGCATACTTCCTGTCCAGCTGCCCACTCCACCTCTCCCTCATGTGTCCACCTGAGCTCCCGGCCACCCACCACGCCTCTTGTTCCCTCCCTGCTCTCTCCTCTCTCTCCCATCTGATGACAGTAACTCTTCTTCCATTCCTTCTAAAAAGGAGAACAATAGGAAGACCCATTTGGATGAGCATTTTGCAACTCTCTTTTCAGAAGGGATCAGATGGTATAAAATAAGAACTCTCCCAGGATACCTGAGCTGTGTGTCTTCACAGTCTTGGGTTTGAGGCAGCTACTGTCTCGCGGTGACATCTTATGGGCTGACCCTCCTGCCCTCACAAGACAGCTCTAAGCCTGACACTGGCCTCTAGGTCTGATTGCCCCAGGCCCAACTTTGTAGATGCCCTCGGTGCTCATTGCACAGAGCCCCAGCAGGCTTCTGTGTCTTGCAGAGTGAGGAGCGGTCCTCAAGTCTGACCTGGAGTCCCCTCTCCCCACTAGGGAGGCTCCCAGAATGTCTGACGCACTGGAGAGGCTGAGCCCAGACTCAAAGATACTCAACATGACGGTGGACGAGTGCTTCCAGTCCCGCAACACCGTCCTCCAGGGCCAGCCCTTCGGGGGCATCCCCACCGTGCTGTTCCTCAACGTGGTCTTGTGGGTGGTGAGTGCTGGAGGCTACGGGATGCCTGGTGAGGCCTCATAAGCTGGGGGCTGCGGTCATCCAAATCCTCCGTGATGCAAATGACCTGAATGCCAGTCCTGCTTGGGGTAGACCCCGGGCAGAAGGTGCTAGAGGAGCAGGCTAAATCCTTGACCTTCTCTTCTTTGCACCGTTGCCCCAGAGTCCATCTGGCCAATACCCTTGGGATCCCTTCACCTTCCCCTTGGAGGTGTTTCCCAGGGGCCTTCCCATCACTCTAAACACAACCCTGGCAAACTCCGAGCATCGCTGCGCGCTAGGAAGCTTCTGGGGTGGGAAGTGCAGCATTAAAGGGATGCTCCTTCTCTGACAGAGCTCACTGGGGGCTTCGGGGACTTCCCAGTGTCTCCTCCTAGAAAGGCAGGGTGGCCCAGGGGAAGGCATTGGCGAACTCTCCGATCCACATTGCTTTTTCTGGCTTGCAGTTCGTCCTTTTGCTTTACTCCTTCCTCCGGAAAGCCGCATGGGACTATGGGCGCCTGGCCCTGCTGATCCACAATGACAGGTGAGCAGGGCGGGGTCGGGTAGCGGAGCTATGGCCAGATGTGGCTGGGCCTTGCCCAAGCTGCAGCAGGGTGGCCTCCCATTCCCGTCACTGCCCCTGCTTTGCGCTCCCTGCCGGAAGGACGCTTAGAGGGCAGCTGTCTCGGTGTAAGACCACATTTTTCTCTGGTCTCAAAGACTGGACTCCAAAGATGCCCTGGGCACCTGGCAGCAGAGGTGACGCCATCTGTACCCAAAGCTGCATGTCCAGCAAAGGAGCTGAGGCTGCTGGGCAGTAGCTGCCCCCAGTCCTCAGCTAAGGGCATGGCGGGGAGCAGCACAAGCATCTGAAGCCCTCTCTCTCCTTTTCCGTCCCTGCCACCCTTCCTGGCTGGCAGCTTGACCTCACTGATCTATGGGGAGCAGAGTGAGAAGTCGTCTCCCTCGGAGATTTCCCTGGAGATGGAACGCAGGGACAAGGTGAGTGCTGGGAGTGCCCGGCACCCTGTGGACCCTGGTCTTGGGAGGCCGGTTGTGGTGGGCACAGGAAAGAACAGGGCTTAGGCAGAGGTTCGTAGCCTTCTGGGCTCTGCCACTTCTGGTAGTGTGACCGAGGGCAAATTCCTCCACCTCCTCAGGCACTGGTTCCCATCTGAGAGATGGAGACATTCGCCATATCTGCCTCCTAGGGTGACAGTGCGTCTTAGCTCATTAAAATATCTTAGATTTTTGAAATGAATTTTCCTCCTTTTCTCAAATCTCTAACCCTTCCTACAGTTCCCATGCTGCCCTGCTCCCTGTCCCCTCCCCCGGAGCCAAGAACTCACCTGTTTTGTGGGGAAGGTTCTGCCGTGAGGCAGGGATTCTTCACCCTCATGCCCTGGCCCACAGAACACCGTGTTCCTCTTCAGTCTCCTTCCTGTGAACTTCAGGTCCTCTACCCAGACTAGGCTGGACCTGTGTGGCCGCCCTGGAACTGGGGGTGGGCAGTAAGCACAGGGGACCAGGTCCTGCCTCGCAGCGCACTCTCCCCGGCTTGCAGAGATGAGCAGACAGATGCATTTCGGACAGCAGGGAGCATGTGATGGAAAAGTGGACAGGGCGAGGGAGGCACTTGATGGCGCGCTGCATTATAGGTGGTGCCCGGCATGGCCCTGGACAGCAGAGGACACTGGAATGCGGTAACGGAAGGAAGAGAACTTCCGGCCGGCACAGGCCACGCTGCCCCCCCCCCCCCCCGCCAGCCTGACAGCGGTCTGCTTTGCACTCACCCTCGGTCCTCGGCCCCCCTCGAATGTGGCGTTCATCCATCTCACTCCCCTGCCACCAAATCCAGTGAGCTTCCTTCAGCCTCGTCCTACCCATCTCTCAAAAACGTCTGACCTCGACTGTCCTCCAGCAGCGCTCCCTGTTGCTTTGTGACCTTGTGCCCGGGTTTTTTTCTTCCATCTCTGTCTGCCTTGCAGGCTCCTCTCCACACCCTGACCCCAGGCCTCTCCACTCTCACCACCCACTGTCTGTCCTGAGAAGTGACACGTTCACAACTTCATCTGCCATCGCTACACTGCTACCTCCGGCTAAGCCTGTCCCTGGGCTCCAGCGCCTCTGTCCAGCGGCCTTCAGAACCGCTCCACCGGGCTATCACAAATGCACCTTGGATTCGTGACGTCCAGACATTCCGTGGGACCCTCCCTGCCCCTCACCCTAGGTCCCTGGCCTCAGACCCTTCCCACTCACTCACCACCTGTCCTGCCCCCACACAGGCCCCAGCTCTCAACCCATTCCATTCAGTACCAGGCTGTGCTGCCTTTACCCTCCCAGTTTTGTTTCTCTCCGACCCATCTCCCCGTCCCTCTCCCAGCCTCCACCCATTTCTCGCTTTGGTGAGTGAAGGAGCTCTAACTCATCCCTGTAGGTCCACACTTGCCCTTACCCCATCCACATTCCACTTGCATCCAGAGCCATCCCCTAAGTGGGAACACAGATTCCCCTGTGTAAACCTTCAGCGTCTTCCTAATGCTCCTGCGACAAATTGCAGGTGCTGTGCCACAGCCTGGTGGTTGGATCTCTTGTCCCTGGTCCAGTCTACTTCTCTCTCCTCAACTCTCCACCCCCAGCCACATCGGTCACCTTTGAGGTCCTCCACAGTACCAGCTCCTTCCCACCACAGGACCTTTCCCAAGCTCTTCTCTCTCCCTCCTCCCCTACAGCATCTCTGAGTCACCCCACACTTGGTTCGGATTTCAGCTCAGGCACTGATTCCCTGGGAGAGTTGGCAACTGGCCTGATCCAGATCTTTTGTTATGAACACGGGGAAAAAACATTCCTTTTCTTGAGCCCTGCCTATGCTGGCCCTGCATCAGCACGATCAGTCTCCTATGTCTGCGTCCGTCCCCCAGTTTGAGCAGGCAGAGCTTGACATGCTCATCACCGTGTCCCAGTCCTCAGTCTAGGCCGTCACATAATTAGCATCTGGTACACATTTGTAGCAGGAGGTGGTACACAAATCGCATTCCTCCCATGTCACGTCCCTGGCTCTGCCCTACCCCGAGTGTGACTCTTCAGGCAAACTACTTGCTCTCCCCAAGGTCTCTTTCGGAGGGAGCACAGCAGCACTTCAAAGTGGTACACAGGTCACTTTTAGACGCAAACTGTGGTCTGTCTTCCTTTACAGTGACAAAAAGATTACTTTATTTTTTAAAAAAACTCTTAAGAAGACAAATGGCACAGTACAGAGGGTAGAAATTCAACTAGAACAAGGAGTACAGGGAGGCAGCCTCTGGCCCGGGGGACCTCAGTAGGGCCTGGTTCTCGCCAGAATGTCTGGAGCAAGTCAGGACAAGTGTCATTCATCACCCTCGGCTGGTGAGGGTGGGGAGGAGGAGGCCTGAGAAAGGTCCAGGGAGCTGACTGCTGTCATTCGGTCTCATCAGCTGAGCTGGCTCCTGGGAACTTGTGGCCCTTTCCTTCCTGCAGCATGGGGAAAGAGGAGAAGAGAGTGTGCACCCACCTAACAAACCCCATTTCCTGTATCAGGATGGCAGGGATCCACTCACTTTCGGGGAGACACTGCCCCCAGCATCTCCCCTGACTTCACACCAAGCCTCGGGCCCCTCCTGGACACTGCCACAGCTGCCTGGCCCACCCACAACTGTGGGCCCCCAAAGCTGGGTGGGGTTGCCAGGCACCTTGGGTGGTCTCACAGTACCTCTCCTCTCTCCCCAGGGCTTCTGTTCCTGGTTCTTCAACAGCCTAACCATGAAGTAAGTGCCTGTGCCCCGTGAGCCTGTGACGGTGAGGTCATGGAGGGGTGGGGCCTCTTGTGAGAAGTACCAGCCCCCTCCTGGGATGAGAGCCTGGAGCCCTGTATCCCCCACATCATCTCCTGCCTCAGGCAGACGGTGCTTCCCAGAGTTACAGCTGGTGAACGGGAACTGGATGTAGCTTCTCGCTGGGGCCACCCCTACCCCGCTGTGCAGGGAAGGAGTGCGCATAACAGCAGAACCATCATGCCCACACTTATAAACCTGAGTCTGTGAACTGCACACCAGGAAAAGAAACCCATTCCACATGTTTATTTGCTTGATTTCTGTGCACATAACTCATCATATTTGTCCAGAGGGAGCAAACACATGGGGCAGAAGGGCAGACTTCCTCTCTGCACCTGGGTTACAGAGGGACGTCTCTGTCCACCTCCTCTTCAGAATTTCTGTAGTGCACAACTCCACTTGGCCATAATACAGGCCTCAGTACCCACTTTCTCCTGATTCTCAATACTGGCCAATGCGTTAGCTGAGCATCAGAAGTCTCTGCCTTTGGTGCCTGCACACACACACTCACACACCTCAGCCCTGCCTGTGCTCAGAGGCCTGCATGATCCTGGACTCTTATCCACCCTGCCCTGCCTGTCCTTCAGACCCCTCTTGCCTGGTGACACCTGCTTTAGGGTCCAGCTCCACTGCTTCTCAGAGGCTACATGGACTAGGGGCTCAAGCAGCCCTGTTATTTTACTTCTTTTGCAAAGTAACTACCACACAGTCTACTTGGAGAAACAAAGGCCAGTAAGACTCTTTACATACCAGCCACAACGCGGGAGCTACAGTTTGCTGAACAAAAGGGCACTCGGGGAAAAAAAGTGAATTCCAACTGAGGCATTCAGGAAAATGTAGTTTTAAGCTGGGTCTTGAAGGATGGGAGGGGTTTTGCCAGTGAAGGGCATATCACAGAAGTCAGGTTTGGGGGAGAGATGAGCAAGAAGGAGCCTGCTCATTTTAATTTAAGGGATTAAGATAAACAGCTCTCTAAGTAGGATGCATCTCCATATCAGTAGGGCTTTGCCCGGCACCTGCTCCCTGGGAGGCACTCAGAGTATTAGCAAAAGTAACAAAAGGGTGACGGAAGCTTGATTTCGAGTGCACCCCCCGATGCCGCGTGTGCACACGGAACGTGGCCTCTCTTCCACATTTCCGTGAAGCAGGCTGACGTGCACTTCCAGGGCCGTGTTTCCATAAATCAATAAAACTTAGGGGTGGCGGGGCCACCCTCCTTCCCTCTCCTCTCTCCGCCCCAGCCGGGGCTGCGCGGGCTCCTGAGGACCGTCCTTGTTTGTGTCTCCTGCAGGGACCAGGACCTGATCAGCAAGTGCGGGGATGATGCACGCATCTACATCACGTTCCAGTATCACTTCATCATCTACGTACTGATCCTCTGCGTCCCCTCCCTGGGCATCATTTTGCCCATCAACTACACCGGAACTGTTCTGGGTAGGCAAGGCTCGGGGGGGCTCGGGGAGTCAGGAAACCTGGATTTGCATCCCTCCTTCTTGATGTTAGCTGTCGAGTGACCTTGAAAATCCAGGCTCAGGCCCTGCACCCAGAGATGGCTCCTCTTCTGTTGAACTCGAGCCTGGCACGTGGCAGGGACATAGCATCCCTTCAGTCTCAAAGCATGTGTCTACTCATGTGCCCACTCTACACCTGCCGGGATGCGTGGCCCACTGCAGAGGCCCCCAAACGCCTCCTCTCCCTGCAGCCACCCTGGTGGACATAGCCCAGCAAACACAATATTAGTCTCCTGGGACTTGTGCCCAGTTTACTGTGACGAGTCCGTCCTCTTATGAAACAGCATTGTGAGTGAGGCCAGGCTTTGAAGTTAGAAAATTCTTGGTTCCACAATATTTCCAACATTTTCTCCCTAGAAAATATCTTTGCCCAAGCTAACAAATTAATTAACTTCATACTGGGCAAGTCAGCCTCTCCAGACGTCGATTTCCTCAGTATCTTGGGCACTGGGAGATAAATGACTGGTGCCTGGCACGGTGCCTGACACACGGCACGAGCTCCGAGACCAGCCGCAGTATTCCGCTTAGAGTCACAGGACGGATGGGGCTGCAGGAGGACTGAACGACATGGTGGGTGGTAGCACATCGCTGTCCAGGTGGCCACCAGCTCTAGATTCCTCAGGATTCTGCCTGCTTTTCCCCAGCCTGATGTAGACCTTACTGAATTCAGTGTAGTACATCATCTGGGCCACCGGGTTCGACCACCAGTGTTAATAACTTCCGGCTCCTGTCTTTCCAGATTCTTATCCCAAGAGCTGGTATGTGAGCAATGATGGAATGGTGCAGGATTCTTAGACACATCTCACAAAACCTGGAGGTGTCAGAACCAACACAGTACACTCATCCAGAAGGATGTACTCTGTTTGAGGCGGTGTCCCATTCTCTGGAGTTCTGGGTTCTTGTGATGGTGTCTGGAGCTGCCGATCTCATCTTTCTACCCGTGGCTGGACAGCCAGTCCCTTTAGCTAGAATTTACTGGGTGTCTGCTGTGCACCGATTCCCCTGGAGACATCCTGCGAACACATGGTTTCACTGGATACTCAAGACCCCAATCAGCAGTGCTGGGAGGAGGATTTTTTGTTGGAAGCTGGGGACAAGTTCTGGGGAGCTGGAAGGAAGGGCAGGTTGTAGCAAGTGTCTTTAGGCCCTGGTGTCCATTTATTCAGGAGCCTTCAGTTCTGCTCCTCTCCCCACCACCTACCAATGAGCCTCTCACAGTCCCCTCTTTCTTCTCTTGCAGACAGGAACAGCCACTTTGGTCGGACCACCATCGTCAATGTCTCCACAGAGTAGGTACCTGACCTTCTTACCTCCCGTTCTACTGACTGGACATTGGTGGGAAGAGGAGGTCCAGTGTGTCAGTCCACAACCTGGGCACCGGTGCTGATGAGAGGCCTAGTTCCCTTGGGAATCTAGGTCCTGAGTGAATACTGGAAATTGCCCCTGTTTTGGTGAAAAGGACTCTTAGTGCCTTCATATCCCCACCTGTCAGGAGTGGAACCATCCAGACTAGCCACTCCTGAGGACTGGAAAACGGTCCAGTTCTTTAGTATATACAGCTCCAAAGAGCCAGGGACCCTGTACCAAGGAGAGATTTAAGGGATTATCTCCCAGCCCAGCGTGAGTTCAAGGCAGTGCTCATGTCATTTAGGGACTTGTGGGTCTCCCAGTCCCCTGCACCCCGCCCACCACTCCTACTCCTACAGCAGACAGACTGAGAGAAATGTATGATGGATTTGCATCCCACCTTTGTCAGTCACCGGCCCTGGACCTGGGGCAACATGTCCTCTGCCCCTGAGCTTCAGTCTGCACCCAGGGAGGGGAAGTACTGTAGGACAAGATCTCTATGCCCATCCCGCTCACAGCCCAGCAACCTGTGGCTTTCAGCACCAGCCAACCTGACTGGTGGCCAGATAAACCTGTCCCGAGTCAAATTCAGCCCTGCTGGTCCACTGGGGGCCAGAAAGGAGTCTTGCCCAGGCTTGGCGTCCTCCTGACAAAGCTGCGGAAGCAGTTCCTGCAGGCCTAAGCAGGTTGCACATGCTCCTCCCCCAAGCCCTGCCTGGTCATCCCTGTACCCTCCCAGCAGGCTGCTTAGCCCTAACTCTCAAATCACAGGACAGGGTGTGTCATCCTCTCCCTGCCCTTTGAGCCGGCTCTTGCCCCAGTGCTGCCACCCGGAGCAGAGGCCCTAGCTTCTTCCCTAAGTCAGTCATTCTAGGGTGCTGACACCTTCCCTACAAGTGAATTCTAAAAGAGATGTAAAGAGCTCTGTGTGCAAGACTCCATACTGGCCACGGGCTGGAAGGTTCCCTAGCGACCATGGACCCTTGCCCTTCTGCAGAGAGTGAGCCACCTGGCATCTAGCTAGCGGGGAGAGGCATGTGAAGGCCAGGTGCTGGGACAGGGAGTGGAGGCGTCTCAAGCACAGCAGCCCTTTTCTCCTCGTGCCACATGACACAGGGTGGGCTCTGCTCCCCACGGTCATTCCGGCCAGAGGCCTTGGGATAGCACCCCATGGGCTGCAAGCAGGGCTAGAAACTTGGCCCGGGTGCCTCCTGGCCCCTCTCCCCTTGCATGAGACCCTGGGTCCTCCTCACTTGCCTTCTGGGTAATTGTGGAGTGAAGTAGCTAAGTACCTCAGCATCTCTGGGTCCCCCTTCTAGCACTGTCACTCCTATGAATGAGCAGGTCACCTGCCAATCTGGCCCTTATTTCCTTATGGGCAAAATGAAGATAATCACAGAACTACTCTGCACGGCTCTAGAAGTCTAGTGAGAAAAAGACATAAAAAACATAGTCCCAGCCAGATGTGGTGGTGCACACCTGTAATCCTGGCACTGGGGGAGGTTGAGGCAGAAGAATCACTAATTTGAACACAGCCCGGGCAAGTTAGCAACTTAATGAGACGTTGTCTCAAAAAATAAAATAAAAATAAAGGGATTGAGTACAAAAGGCTCTGTGTTCAATCCCTGGTACAAAAGAAAAAAAAAAAAAAAACCAATGAGCCTCTCACAGTCCCCTCTTTCTTCTCTTGCAGACAGGAACAGCCACTTTGGTCGGACCACCATCGTCAATGTCTCCACAGAGTAGGTACCTGACCTTCTTACCTCCCGTTCTACTGACTGGACATTGGTGGGAAGAGGAGGTCCAGTGTGTCAGTCCACAACCTGGGCACCGGTGCTGATGAGAGGCCTAGTTCCCTTGGGAATCTAGGTCCTGAGTGAATACTGGAAATTGCCCCTGTTTTGGTGAAAAGGACTCTTAGTGCCTTCATATCCCCACCTGTCAGGAGTGGAACCATCCAGACTAGCCACTCCTGAGGACTGGAAAACGGTCCAGTTCTTTAGTATATACAGCTCCAAAGAGCCAGGGACCCTGTACCAAGGAGAGATTTAAGGGATTATCTCCCAGCCCAGCGTGAGTTCAAGGCAGTGCTCATGTCATTTAGGGACTTGTGGGTCTCCCAGTCCCTTGCACCCCGCCCACCACTCCTACTCCTACAGCAGACAGACTGAGAGAAATGTATGATGGATTTGCATCCCACCTTTGTCAGTCACCGGCCCTGGACCTGGGGCAACATGTCCTCTGCCCCTGAGCTTCAGTCTGCACCCAGGGAGGGGAAGTACTGTAGGACAAGATCTCTATGCCCATCCCGCTCACAGCCCAGCAACCTGTGGCTTTCAGCACCAGCCAACCTGACTGGTGGCCAGATAAACCTGTCCCGAGTCAAATTCAGCCCTGCTGGTCCACTGGGGGCCAGAAAGGAGTCTTGCCCAGGCTTGGCGTCCTCCTGACAAAGCTGCGGAAGCAGTTCCTGCAGGCCTAAGCAGGTTGCACATGCTCCTCCCCCAAGCCCTGCCTGGTCATCCCTGTACCCTCCCAGCAGGCTGCTTAGCCCTAACTCTCAAATCACAGGACAGGGTGTGTCATCCTCTCCCTGCCCTTTGAGCCGGCTCTTGCCCCAGTGCTGCCACCCGGAGCAGAGGCCCTAGCTTCTTCCCTAAGTCAGTCATTCTAGGGTGCTGACACCTTCCCTACAAGTGAATTCTAAAAGAGATGTAAAGAGCTCTGTGTGCAAGACTCCATACTGGCCACGGGCTGGAAGGTTCCCTAGCGACCATGGACCCTTGCCCTTCTGCAGAGAGTGAGCCACCTGGCATCTAGCTAGCGGGGAGAGGCATGTGAAGGCCAGGTGCTGGGACAGGGAGTGGAGGCGTCTCAAGCACAGCAGCCCTTTTCTCCTCGTGCCACATGACACAGGGTGGGCTCTGCTCCCCACGGTCATTCCGGCCAGAGGCCTTGGGATAGCACCCCATGGGCTGCAAGCAGGGCTAGAAACTTGGCCCGGGTGCCTCCTGGCCCCTCTCCCCTTGCATGAGACCCTGGGTCCTCCTCACTTGCCTTCTGGGTAATTGTGGAGTGAAGTAGCTAAGTACCTCAGCATCTCTGGGTCCCCCTTCTAGCACTGTCACTCCTATGAATGAGCAGGTCACCTGCCAATCTGGCCCTTATTTCCTTATGGGCAAAATGAAGATAATCACAGAACTACTCTGCACGGCTCTAGAAGTCTAGTGAGAAAAAGACATAAAAAACATAGTCCCAGCCAGATGTGGTGGTGCACACCTGTAATCCTGGCACTGGGGGAGGTTGAGGCAGAAGAATCACTAATTTGAACACAGCCCGGGCAAGTTAGCAACTTAATGAGACGTTGTCTCAAAAAATAAAATAAAAATAAAGGGATTGAGTACAAAAGGCTCTGTGTTCAATCCCTGGTACAAAAGAAAAAAAAAAAAAAAAAGAAAAAAAAAAAGAGTGGAAAGAAAGCACTCATTCAAAGAAAGGAAGAAAAATAATTTAATCCCTTCCTGGATCTGGTACATAGTGAGCACGCAGTATTAGCCATTAGGAGGGGCCAGGCTCTCTGAGCAACACCATCGCTCCCTTCAGAATGCCTGAGAGCTGGGTCTCTAAGAGGGGGACCTGGGGACACCATGGTGGTAGAGGAGGAGGCCTGAGGACACCATGGTGGGAGGAGGGATTCCAGCGACACCAGGGTGGTGGGGGGTCCCGGGTCACCCTGGTGGCCTCTGGAAGCCCGCAGCACCGCCAGCCTCTGCTCCACTCTGGCAGGAGTAAGCTCCTTTGGGTGCACAGCCTCTTCGCGTTCCTGTACTTCCTCACCAACTTCGCCCTCATGGCCCATCACTGCCTGGGGTTTGTGCCCAAAAAGAGCCAAAAGGTGAGTGCATGAAGAGCCCCCTCCCCAGCTGGACCGGAACCCCAGCCTCAGAGGTCCCAGCTCAGCTTCCCTGGGGATGTGTCACCTGCATGGGGACAGGCCCCTCCTCTTAGTCCGCCCATGGTCGCTGCTCCCACCCCTGCATTCCACCCTCCCTCCCCCATCGTTGCTCCACCATTCTCAGTCTGTCTTCTTTGTCCTGCCCCTGGTGTATCCACACCTTGTGGGTCTGGGAGATCTCTATCCCCCTCCCAAGCAGACCCCGAGACCAGGGGTCTCACTGAGTGGCACTCATTTATTTGGGAGGAATCAGGAAAGGCCAATAGGGAGTGGGGTTGGGGGGAGAAGGCAACCAGGCAACCAGTACAAGAACACTGGGCATCTGAGCAGTATGGCAGCCAGAACTTACTCTCTGGGGACCCAGAGACTGGTGTAGAACATGCATCCTAGAATGCTTGCAGCCTGGAGGTGAGCTATCAAGGCTAATTTCCTCCAAACTCCCTGTCCACTGGCTGAGGTTTGTATTTGGGGACTTTGACTCTTCACTTCTCCTGTATGTAAGATGAACACAATCCCAAAGCCAGGAAAGAGCCCTTGGGAAGAATCCCACATTTAAAATATGTCACAGCCTGTGGTGGGCAGAAGTGAAGGCCAAAGTACTATGGACAGTGGCAGTGCCGCCTGCCCAGACCACAGCCTAGTACAGGGCAGGGGCCTCCCCTAGGTCCATGATCTGCAGGGAGAGAAACCACACAGACGCTCATCCTTGGCTCTGCATCTGACCTTTCATGGCTTTAATGAAGTGGGGTCTGCACCTTGGAGCTGTCTATCCTAAAGGACTGAGTCACTAACCCAGCCCAGAGTGCAAAGTGACACTCCTGGAAATGTCACCCTGATTGCTTCAGCCCACCAAGCATGGAGGCTTGGGCACGCCTGACCAGTGTGGACTCAGCTACTCCAGCTTTTCTTATTGCCATCAAATGCTTTTGCCAAGACCCTCATCTCTTGCAGCATAGTTTACCAGACTTGGTAAACTTGAAGGTGATGGCTCAGAAAGACATTTCCTACCTAGAGAATAAAACAGAAAGTTGGGAGAGGAATTCTCAGTCTCTCCCCCAGAGTCTTGCTGTGTTAGTTTTTTGTTACCACAACAAAATACCTGAGACAATCAGCTTAAAAAGAGGGATGGCTTTTTTTTCATTGTTGTTGTTGATTTTTTTTTTTTTTTTTTTTTTTTTTTT